AACATCCTAATGCAAGTTTTTGTGTGGACATGTGCTTTCATTTCTCTTGGTTGCTAGGTCAAATGGCAACTCTAGGTATAACTTTTTGAGGAACTGCCAGACTGTTTTCCAGAGTGTCTGTACTATTTTACATTCCCACCAGCAGTTTATAAGGGTTCAATTTCTCTATATCCTCATGGACACTGGTAGTATCTTATTATGGTTTAGATTTGCATTTTTATGATGACTAATGTTAAACATCTTTGCATGTACCTATAGACCATTTGTATATCTTCTTTCAAATCATTTTACTATTTTTTCAGTTGGGTGATTTCTCTTCTTATCATTGAGTTGCAAGCATTCTTTATACATTTTAGGTACATTTTAGAGATAAGTCCCGTGTCCAATATATAGTTTGTATATATCATCTTTCATTATTTGAATTTTCTTCTTTCTTTTCTTTTCTTTTCCCTCCCTCCCTCCCTCCCTCCCTCCCTCCCTCCCTCCCTTCCTTCCTTCCTTCCTTTCTTTCGATGGACTTTCACTCTTATTGCCCAGGCTGGAGTGCAATGGCACCATCTCGGCTCATTGCAACCTCTGCCTCCTGGGTTCAGGCGATTCTCCTGCCTCAGCCTCCCAAGTAGCTGGGATTATAGGCATGTGCCACCACACCCAGCTAATTTTTGTATTTTTAGTAGAGATGGGATTTCTCCATGTTGGTCAGGCTGTTCTCAAACTCCGGACCTCAGGTGATCTGCCCACCTCGGCCTCCCAAAGTGATGGGATTACAGGCGTGAGCCACCGCGCCTGACCTCTTTTCACTTTCTTAATAGTGTCCTTTGAAACATTAAAAAATTTTAATTTTGATAAAGTCCAATTTATCTATTTTTTTTCTTTTGTTGCTTGTACTTTTGGTTTCATGTCTAAGAAACCATTGCCCTATGATTTACCCCTATGTTTTCTTCTAATATTTGTATAATGTAAACACTGGTATTTAGACCTTTATTCATTTTGAGTTAATTTTTGCATATAGTGTGAGATTGAGGCTCAAGTTTGTTTGTTTAAATGTAGATATTCAGTTGTTCTAGCACCATTTGTTGAAAAGACTATTATTTTCTCATTGTATTGTTTCAGCACCCTTGTCAAACTGGATTGATTGTAAACATGAGAGCTCATTTCAAGACTCTCAGTTATATTTTATTGTTTTAGATGTCTATCATTATGCCAATAAGCAGGGCATCATATGTCCTGCTTCCTGTGGACTTGAAGTTGGGAATTATGAGCCCTCCAAATTTGTTTTCCTTTATAATGATTGTTTTGACTATTCTGTGTTTCTTGAGTTTCGATATGAATTTAATTATTATGTTGTTAATTTCTATAAAGGAGTCAACTGACATTTTGATAGAATTTCCATTGAATTCATAGATCACTCTGAAGAGTATTATCGTCTTAACGTTATCAAGTTTTTCTATCTATGAGCACTGGATGTCTTCCCATTAGTTTAGGTGTTCTTTAATTTCTTTCAACACTATAAGTTTTCAGCATACATGTCTTGAACTTTTGATTGAATTGTTGAAGTTTCAGAAGACAGAACCTGAGGAGAATATAGAATTTTATCAGGTCAACACAATCTGTGATGAGATAATGAGTTTATTCTGTGAAGACACAGTCTCCCAGATAAACCATGATCTTGTTAGCTACATCTTGGCCATGTGACCTTGGGAAGGTTATTAATTCCCTTTGAGCCCCAGTCTCATTTTCAAAATGAAGCTAACAGTACTTCGTAGGGCTGTTGAAAATTTTGGATATGAAAATGCATCTAAAATGGCCCAAAATAGAGCAGTAAAAATATTGATTTCCTTTTCTTCTTCCATTTCTATGTATTTCCCCAGAAGTTATTGTTGTATAATAATTATTCTGGTCAAGTCAAGATAAAAAATTTTCTATCTTAAATTTTCTAAGCAACCAATACACATAAATGCAGCTTGTCTTACATGGATATATAATTTGTAAGCTTAACCCTTAAAATTCCCTGAGATACAAGAACAATGTACGAAACTCAACTGAATTTCTATACATTTGCAATTAATACATTTAAAACAAAATTAAGTAATTCCACTTATTATAGCATCGAAAAGAATAAAATATTTAAGAATACATTTAACCAAGGAAGTGCAAGCCTTGTAAACTGAAAACTGCAACACTTCGTTTAAAAAATTTAAAGAATATCTAAATAAATGGCAAAACATCCCATGCTCATTGTTGGGAATAAAGCTCAAAATCCTAAGAAGATTGAACACTCAAACAAAGAATTCTTAGCAAAGCAATTTTACTTCTGTGTAAAGGGGTGCTTCTCCTTGGCCAGTCGCCGTGAGAGCACACCTGAACAAAGGGGCACGAGAGCCTTTATTCCTGATGCAAGTCCTGCCCCTGTACCCTTTACCCACTGGCCAGGGTCGGGTCGCACAACCTGAACTAATCCCAGTTGGCTAGATATTTGAACTTTTTAAAGATAAGGTGGGCATATAAGGGAGAGAGGGAAAAAAGAGGGGAAGGGGTGTTTGCAATGAGCTAGAGAGCTAGTCTCCCTTCCAGATAAGGAAAGGAATGTGAGCTGGTACTGATAAGCCTGGTACTGTGGCGTGTCCGTGTCCTGGTATGTAACAAAGGCAGAAAAGAGAAAAAGGAGAAAGGGGTGGGTACTATGAATTAAAGAATAAAGGATTGATCAGGCTATTTGAAGAGAAACCTCATCATATCCCACATCATGGATCAGAATACTTAATATTATTAGGATGGTAATATTCTCCAAAGTGGTCTACAGATTCAATGTAGTCTCTGTCACAATAATAGTATGTTTCCTTGTAGAAATTGGCAAGGTGATCCTAAAATTCTTATGGAAACTCAAGGGACCCAGAATAGCCAAAATAATCTAGAAAAAGGAGAACAAAGTTGAAGGATTCACACATTTTGATTTCAAAAGTTACTACAAAGCAAGAATAATCAAAACAATGTGGCACTGGCATAAGGATAAAATAAAGATAAATGGAATAAAATTGAGAGTCCGGAAATGAACTCTCACATTTACAATCAACTGATTTTTGACAAAGGTTCCAAAACAATTCAATGGGAGAAAGAATATCCTTTTCAACAAGTGGTGCGGGGACAACTGAATAGCCACATACAAAAGAATAAAGTCAGACTCTAACTCACATTGAGACAGCTAGATGGGAGCGTGTCCCTGGGAAAAACTCCAACTGGCCTGAGCACTGGGGTAGAGCCTCAGGAATTTTGTGCCTTTTGCAGTTGAGAGGAGCCTGGCCCCTCCTCTTGTGTGGAACCTAGGATTCAAGCTGTGGGCAGAAAGTGCTCTAGCAGGGACTCTGGCCTTGTGAGAGTCCCTTTTCCTCCCTTCCTTCCTTTACACCCAATAAAAGCTGTCTTACCCTTCAAAGTGTCTGCAAGCCTGAATTTTCATGGCTGTGGGACAAAGGACCCCATCTTTAGCTGAACTAAGGAAAAAGTCCTGTAACATTTTTGGCGTGCAACGTGGGGACTCAAAACCTCTTACAGTTGCTCCTAAACCTTTTCATCTTGGGACTTCTGAGCTTATGGGAAACAGTGCCCCCACCCCCGGCCCTCCCGGGCAGGGGACCTTTTCATGGCCTTTTCCTTCCTTTTTCCAGATGGACTGGTGAGCCGCAGCTGCCTGCCGCTCCCCACTCCGTGCTGGGGCTGGGATGCATGGCCCAAGGGTCCCACACAGCCGGCTGGCTGGTTCCACTGGACAGTAATTAAGCTTAAGCTTCTCTCCCCGGTGGAGGAACCACTTGCATGAGAATAAAAGGTTCTTCCCCAGGCATTTTTAAACCCTTTTTCTTTCCCCTTCTCTACCCTATCAACAAGTTAACCTTTAAAGTTTTCTTTTTCTTTTAGAAGATAGGCCAACCCCAACCCAACTATCACTGTTGGTATTCTCTGCAAAGTTTAGGTTGTGAAATCAAGCCTCCATCTTGTTTTACAGCCTGAGGGCATGGCTTGTAACTCTGGGGGCAGGACTTACAACTCTGGGGGCAAGGCTTTGTTTAGCAATCCTGCCTCAGGGAATGAGCCCTTTCTGGTTCCATATCTGCATATTTTCCTAGCTCTGTCTCTTAAAGGGCCCCATCCAGCTACTGGGTTTTTTTCTGCCTGTCTGTGTATGTACTGTATATGATTTCTGTAAAATGAGTGCTAATTAATTTGGCCTAAAGAAAGACAAGCACTTGGATTAAATATTTTTAAAAGGGAAGATAAAAACTGGGGTACTTTTCAGTTCATGTGACTTTAATCTTTGAGAAATAAAAACAGCCTTAAAGATTATTGGTAAAATGCAGGTATAATTAAAATGTAAATAGATGAAACAAACTATGCAGGTCAGATGCGAGGTTTGCCAAATGTTTTAAGGTTACAAACTGCTTTTTGGCCTTTGAGAACTATCTGCCTTGCCTGCTTCACAATTGGTAAGGCCTGGGGACATAAGGAACTAACTGCGCCCTTCATTATGCTGGAGTCAGACCTTGACTGCCCATAGCGCACAATTAAAGCAAACTAACAAGTTTTACCTTAAAGTTAAAAATCGCTAGGAGTTACCATTATAACATGTAATTGAAACTACTGAAAATAAATTTACATGCAAGAAGTGTAAGCACAGTAAAATGTGTTTTTTAGTAAAAGGTTACAAAAAGGCATAGAAATGTAAATTTTTGCCTAGGGTTAAAAGATGGTTTTAAATTAGGAAAAAACTGAGGGTTCAAACAAGTGGTGGAAGAATTGTAGAAACTGATCTCGCAGAAGAAGTTCTCTGTGTGAACGTGTTGACTAAATTCAAAAGGGTTATAAAAGGTTTTTGCTTCTTTAAAATTTATGAGTCATCATCTTGGAAAAATAAATAACTTGTGGTAATCTGGAATTCTATTTCATAATGTCAAGTACTTTCAACATATTTAAGTCTTCCCAAAATCAGATTTCAGTTTCAAATTGTCTTTCTTGACAATTTTCAGATAGTCCAGAGGACCCTTGGAATGTCCAGGAAAGAGAGGTAAACAGGATTATTTGACATGTTTAGGTACATGGGATTGCCAAAGGTGATGTTGAATCTTCTTTAGGTTATATCTTGGTGAATAATACTAATATATGTTCCAAAATTGTACGGGATTTCTAAAATTCTAACGTCTAAGTATATGCTATCAATCATAATTAAGGTTGCTATGTCGTTATTGTAAACCATGGAGATAACCAAACTTCTTTGTCAATTGTGTTTCTAACTATAACTGCTCTAGACATTTTGCTATTCACAGACAATTGTTGTCTTGTTTTAATCCTTTCAAAAGATGGTTTATAATAAGCTATAGGACTCTGACAGGTGCTCTCAAATACAATTTTTGATTGAGACAATTGGGTTTCTGATAACTTTGGAGATTGTAGCATTGGAATAAAGGAAAATGTACAGGATTCAGGAAGAGCTGAAATGTTCATGAATATCAAGAAAAACAAGAGTTAACTAACTGGACTGAACTCAGAAATCTGAAGCAACCTTTCTAAGACTTGCTTGGAATATTGCTGATCCATGTTTTGTTTTTCAGAGTCAAGGAAACTTATGTTAAACTATTTATAGCCTTTTAATAATTGAGTAAGGTAATACCCACTGTGAGCAAAATTTAGAGCATGTTTGTTTCTCTCTGCCTGGTTCCTCTAAATTTGGAAACTATCTGGAGTGTTCTTGTGGCAATATAGTTGTTTGTATCAGTGCAGTAAGAATCCATTTTTCTTTTGCACAGAGCACAACTGGAGAAGGTGGTAATTTTACCAAGGCTTGGACTGGAAGGGTATGCTTCCCTTTAAGGAGTCAAGCTTGACTTGCAGAGCTGATAGAAGCCCAATGGGGAGACTGGCCTCATACCCTCATCTACACAGTCCCTGTACAGGGTTCCTGACCTGTGGTCAAAAAAGAATGTCACTTTCTAACAGGTCCAAGAGCTCCGAGTTTATCTTGGGACCTTAAGAGGAGAGGATCATCCAACTCACAGGTATTTCAGGATAAACCCATGGCTGGACTTGGCTTTAAAAGGTCTTGTATGAGATCCCTTGGGGAACAGAGTTCCAACACAGGCAATCTAAAAGGCCTTTGTAGAAATAATTTTTCTTGCTTCACTTTATGCAAATAATCAGGCCAAGTATAAGACTAAAGTCTATTTTGCAAACCACTCAGTCCCAGGATGATTTGGTTTTTTAACAAAAATGAGGACTGGAGAGAGAGAAAAATTATGTTTCAACACTTACACATTTGTCACCAAATTCTAAACTCACTAGTTGTTTTTAAGTTTTTGCCTACATGTTTGACTAACCCTGATTGTTCCTGTGAACCAACCAGCAATCTCCAGCTTCAGCTCAGAAAGAACAAAAGGGATGGGTAATGTAGAAATCCGGATCAATATTCTAATTCTGAGAACTTATCCTACAAATCCTGCCAGGCGACTGGAATAAATAGGGTGCCCATCACTCAGGGGTTTCCTTTTGGGAAAGTAAGACCAAAGGAGCTAACCAAGCCAAGCACCATGCACCGAAATCCTAGCAAGCATGACTATAGCCACCAGTTATCTGGGCATGTCACAAGACATCCTTTTCTCTCCTTTGCTGGAGGAGGACTCAATTCCACAGTTTCACTTTAGCATTCAGCTTATAATAAGGAGTCCATGCAATCCCCCACCCTGAGACACATTTTTGTCCCAAACTCAATTCCAAGCTTTGGGTTAAAGTCCTAGGAAAGAAAACTGGATCTGAAGGATCCAGAGGCAGATGATAATGGAAGTTAAAAGGCACAGGGCAGGTGAGCATGACTGATGCCTGCCCATCAAGCCAAGCCCAAGCTTCCTGTTTCATGGATAAAGGCCACGTTAGTATCCATGGCAAAAATGAGGTGTAGAGAATCCATGGCTACTGAAAAGCAGGGGAGATAAGGCATATGTGGGTAAGAGTGGGTGATTCCCACCCCCTACCCACCTGTCCCCTGCTTCATTGGTGCAAGCCACTGTGACATTCATGGTGGGACCTGCCATGGTCGCCAGGACTCAGGGATGCAAGGATGGAAGAGGGAAAGACGATGCTTTTCCCTCTTTCCCTCACGTACCCCAGGTATCAGTTAGGAGGAGAAGGGAACCAGGGATACCTGCTTCACTCTTTCTAGAAGGGTAGCCATTCATCTGCAGTCTGTACCCCTTTTGAATGCATCATGAACCCCTGGGACTCCTTTAAAAGGCACCTTCTTTTTTCCTTTCTCCTCTTCTGTCCTCTTCACAGATAGGTAATTGTGTCTCTGTAATATGGGACACTCCCCTCAGATACATCCTCCAAACTGGAAAGAGTTAATTTCCCAAACCTTAAACTGGTTGGCTTAGGATTGGGCTTAGGGGAAGAGAACCCAGAAGACCAATATGCCAGCAAAAGGGTAAAGTGTTTTTTACCAGTCAGGCTTTTGGCCTCCCTCTCCATGTGCAAACTGGTAAAAGGCCTCAGGATTTCTGAGCTGCCCTTACCCCTTCCCTTGTTTCAACTTGATACATGTTTTCTAATAAACTGGTTTGTCTCTTCTTCCTTCAGGTCATCAAACTCGAAGTGGCCATGCAACCAGAGCCTCTGATGATGGCCCCTTCTGCTCAGAACCTTACATAGGCCTCTGAGGGAGCTTTGACTGCCGTTTCCCCAAAACAGCACCCCTGTCAGCAGGAAGCAGTTAAGATAGGTCTTCATACTTACCCTTATTCAAGGGCACTTGGATGTGCTTCTTTAGAGGGGGGAATGAGACAGCCAAGTGGGAGGGGGTCCCTGGAAAATCTCCAACCAGCCTGCACACTGGGGTGGAGCCTTGGGAAGTTCATGCCATTTGCAGCAGGGAGGAGCCTGGCTCCTTCTCTCTCTGTGTGGAACCTGGGATTCAAGTTTTGAGCGGCAAGCGCTCTAGCAGGGACTCTGGCCTTGTGAGAGTCCCTGTTTCCCCCCTTTCTTTCTTTACATCCAATAAAACCCTGTCTTACTCACCATTCAAACCTGAATTTTTGTGGCCATGGACAGAGGACCCCATCTTTAGCTGAAATAAGGAAAAGTCGTGCAACAACATCAGATACAATAATTAATGCAAAATGGATCAATGGCTTCGTGTAATAGCTAAAACTATAAAACTGTTAGAAGAAAACATAGGGGTAAATCCTCGTGGCCTTAGATTTGGCAATAGTTTCTTACATGTGATACCAAAAGCACAAGCAACAAAAGAAAAACATAGATACATTGAACTTTATCAAAATCAAAATTGTGAGTTTTTGTTCTTTAAAGGACACTATCAAGAAAGTGAAAATACAACCCACACAATGGAAGAAGTGGTTTATAAATTATACACTGAGTAATGGCCTAGCACCCAGAATCTATAAAGTACCCACAACTCAATAACAAAAAGAAAAAAATGGGAAAAGGGTCAAAATCAACATTTCTCAAAAGAAGATGCACAAATGGCCAACAGACACAAGAAAAGATTCTCAATGTTATTAGTCATTAGGGAAATACAAATAAAAACCACAATGAAATACAACTTTACACATACTACAATGCCTATAATCAAAAAGATCATAAGAAGCACTGGTGAGGACGTAGAGAAATTTGAACCCTAAAACACTGCTGACAGGAATATAAAATGGTGCAGTCACTTTGGAAGACAGTCCAGCCGTTTCTCAAAGGGTTAAATCTAGAATTATCATATGGCCTAGCAATTCCTCGGTATATAGCTAAGAAAAATGAAAGCGTATGTCTTCACAAAAACTTGTACTCAAATGCTTATAGCAGTATTATTTATAGTATCTAAAGGTAGAAACAACCCAAATGTTCAACTAATGAATGAATAAATAAAATGTGGTATAACCATACATTCAAATGTCATTTGGCTATAAAAAGGAATGAAGTACTGAGGTACATGGCACAACATGGATGAACCTTAAAAATACTACATTTCATGAAAGAAGCCAGTCACAGAAAATCACATATATGGTGCCATTCATGTGAAGTGTCAAGAATAAGCCAATCTACGGAGTCAGAAAATAGATTAGTAGTCACTGCTAGTGGCTGGAGGGCAGGGGGAATGGAGAGTGACTGCTAATGGGTATGAGCTTTCTTTATGGGGTGATGAAAATGTTACAAAATTGGTTGTGCCAATGACTGTAAAACTCTGTAAATATACTAAAAAAAATTGACTCGTAGACTGTAAATGAATAAATTGTTCGGTATGTGAATCATGTATCAAAGCACATGTTCTGATCAAAGTGGAAAACAATGAAATAAAAAGTCCCCTGGAGCAGAGTTCTGGAGCGGTGGGAGCTAAACAGGTAAACGTAATTCATAGAAGTCTAAATTCTGGAAACCAGGACTGTGTCTTTTACACTGCTGCAGTGCACATGTTTAACAAAGTTCTATATGTAGGCAATGTTAAAGACAATCACACTAAAAGTGAAGAAAAGCTCTTAGAGCCAAATCATCCATCAATTTGCAGCTATGTAGAAGAGAAGATGTTATAAAATCATGGAAGCCTCCAAGAGCCTTGACATGTAAGAGGCTTACACAATTGAATTGTGCAGATGCCTTGTGACTTGGTCAGAAATTTGCTCATTCCAGAGATGCCCTGGGGTTCAGATAGCTGACAACTATGCCTGAAGAAGTTAGACCTGTTCTAAATACCCCCAGATTGTAGCATTCTTAAAACCATCTCCAGGCTCAGAACCTAACTAGAGGATTGCTGAACCAACTTGCTTTCCTTGAGGACCTTTCGACTACTTAGAAGGAATTCAGGCTTGGGGTCAGTTTTTGAGACTAAAAGTCCTGAAATCTGTCTCCTGGAAACACTAAGGGACATTTTTTAGTAATTTTTCTTCCAGTAAAATCCCAAAGTCTAATTTTAGTCCAAATCTTTGGGGTTCATCCAGAAGCAAGTGGCTGCTAGAAACATAGACTTTCACTCCAGAGTGAGTAAATGTTAGATAGATTAAATTTTTATCTAGCTTTAGATTTGGTCTTGTATGAAACTGACAATAAAATAAGAAACATGGTTTAAACTGTACAAATATCTATCAAGAAGCTAGTCTGTCTCAAATCACTTTCACAAGGGTAAAAGATAAACCTGTAGCCATCTGATTTCTTTGCCAGTAGGAATGGGGTACTTGGTCATAGAATCAATATTATTTACATTTGCTTTCAAAAACCTTGAGGTTTAAAACATATATACTTTGTTTTGTGGGATATATTACTTCCTACAAATGCTCATATGGAAGACTCTAAACAGCATTTAAAGTGAATTCCATGACACCTATTGACTTCCATTATGAGTTCATAGATGGATTTCCATGAAAGAATTCTCCTAAGCAACTGTTGAAAACTTTTGCAAAGGAAGATGCTATCATGGCGGTCATCTCTATGACCTACTGACCAGTGTAAAGAACACTGCTGGAACTTTGGTGCTGCCAACTGTCAGCTATTAGTTATCTGCCCTTACTTAGAATTCAGTTAGGGCCAAGCCAATCCAATTCAGGTCTCCTCAGGGATTCTTACACATACAGATAGTAAAATAACTTACTGCTTAATTAGGAAGGCCCTGGTTAGCATTCCTGGGGTTAAGCATTAACACAAAGGCTGTAAGATAATTTTTATTAAAAGGATACTATATTAGGCTACTGAAATGGCAAAGCAGTGATTCTCAAATTTCAGCGGGCATATTGAAAATACAAATTCTTGGGCCACACACTCAGAGCCACAGAGTCAGATAATCCTAAAGCAAAGGACATCCAAGACTCTGCAGGCTCCTTGGATACATAATCCAGTACCTATATTCTCTTTGGAATGTGATATATAGGATTCTATAAATAAATAACAGCCCATAAATACTATACACTGGGTACTGTCTACACACATTACATATATTAACTTATTTAATCCTCACAGCAAAACTTTCAAGGAGATACTATTATTTTCACTCCCCATTTTCTAGATGAAAAAACTAAGGCAGAGGTTAAGTAAGTTTCCCAGGGTCAGTCTGCTGATAAAGCAGCAGTCCTTAGATTTGAACAAATCATCATTTATTGCAGAAACTATGCTTAATCTGCTATGGGCTGTAACACCTTGCTTTTCCTACACCATTCTTTTTTCTAGCTGTATCAGATTTTTTTAATTGGCAGTTTTAAGAGTGTGCTAACAAGGTCAATCTCTGTGAAAGTCAGAGGAATGCTCTCTGCACTAATTAAGAGATACAACTGAGTTCTCCTGGCCTCAATAATGCAGACATGGTCTGTCTTAATATTTGCATTCTTCCAGCCAATGTCCATGAATAGAATATAGTTTGGGCATCTATTCTCAGTTTGACAGTCTTATGAAGGCAATATAGTCTATGCACCCAAAGACTGGCATAGAGTGGGTCATGGTGCTCTGAGGCTTCCTTTCATTCTCTGTGGAGATAGAGAGGAATGTATCCTTTGAAGACAGCTATGGGATTTCAACAAGAAAACACCTGACCAGAGACATTGAGAAGTATAACCTAGTCTCATATTTATTTAATATCTCTTGAGTGCCTGCTATATGGAGGTGGTAGGGTTATGGTAGGGAAGAAAACAGGCAACCCCCTGCCCTTGGGGATATCCTCATTTAAGATTCGACATGTCTTTAAGTATTATTCTTATTAGAATTATAATTTTCCTTGAAATATGACCCTCCAAATTGCCTCAGTTTCCCCACAAGTAAAACAAAGGTGGGATTAAACTCCCCAGGGAAGCGGCTTCTGAGCCAGAGCTTAGTGTGTAGGAAGTTTATTGGGAGTGCTATCAGAACTGACACCCGTTGAGGGAGGAAAGAAGCTAGACTGGCTAGAGGGAGAAGCTGAACTGTGATACAGCCTCAACAAAGGCTGCAGGTCACCTCATAGAGCCCTCTGGAATTGAGATGGTCATGCTAAATTGGAGCCAGAGGATCAGGGATAAGGTTTTTACACCCTCTCCCATAAGGCGGTCATTGGTTAGTGCTGCCCTGTGCAAGACAGCTGTCTTCAAAGAATGGAAATTCCCAAAGAGCTATTTTCAGGCAGCACTTCCAGCAGTTAGGGGAAATAAGTTATTTAGTCCTCAAGAGGGATTTGGATGATACATCACAGCATCCATTACAGAAAGACTGGACTCTTTATCTATGGCACCCTGTCCAGATACCACATCCTACAATCTTATGACTGTAGGGGACTGGTAATGTCACTGTTGTCCACTCTGTCAAGCAGATATCCTAAGTGTAGTGAGTGCCCCTGTGGCAGTGTTGCCCTGGGATGCTGTTTCTTACATGGCTACCTGCTGCTCTGAATACCCAATAGACCTTGACTGGCAGGCCCAATCTCTCATCCTGCTTGAAGCTTACACTTGCACCTCATGGGCTCTGTGAGATCTTCAGAATAGATGTCAGCGCTTTGAATTCCATCACGGGCCCCTGCAGACATAATCTGGGTTCTGCGACACCCTGCATAATCTTGTAAAGCAGGATTTTGCTAATTTTTTTAGAGAGCTAAACCTGGCTTCTGTACTATGTTAATTAAAAGCATCCTGATTTATTAGAGTTGTAGGCAAAGGCATGCAATGGCTCAGGGGTACACAATTTCTAACTTTGTGCTGCCACCTAATGGCCATCCAGCTGATGAGCAAAACAGAAGGCTGGGATATAATTAATTGAATACCCAAGAAAAGGAATCTTTAATATGGGCTTCTCCTTCATCCCCCACTTGGAGATGAAGAAACATTCAAAGTTTCAGCTTAGGTTATCTTAAAACCTTTCTCCATGAATCATTCCTTTCCTGGAAAGCCTTCTACCAATCTTTCAAGCTCTAACCCAGATGTCCTCTCTTTAAGAAGCCTTCCCAACCAACCCAGCAGTCAGCCTTTCCTCCTCTGGGCTGCCCTGGAATGGGGTATGTCCCTTTAGCATAGCCTGAATTGCACTTAGGTGAATTGCTTTGTGGTATATCTGACCAGGCTGAGCT